TCTTGGGAAAACAGAATCTGATTTTTTTCCTCACTGGAAACTGATTACCCAAGTAGAAAAAAAACCACTCAAATCACATTTTAACTCACATAGTAAGCCCTATAAGAATATTATTATAATATAGATGGTCCTCAATTATTAAGTCCACACTTTTATTCATTATACACAGAATTATACAATGGTGTTTATACGTAGAATTTGTATATTCATGTATCAGCTGACAAATTAATATTTTAAAGTTTCTTCCTATTGATGCTGCCTGCAAGCAACACATTAGTTTTGGCATTTTCATCATCTTTGTCTGACACCAATGTTTGTTTTAGTTCAATAATTGGTAAAATATAAGTATTAAGCCAATGGTGAAAATGATTAGGCTTTTGATAAGTGGCAAATGTTTGGCTCCAACCAGATATTCATTGTGTGATCAATTGTGAAGGGAAAGAATAAACAAATAAGTATTAAAGTTTGGAAATATACTGCCGAAGACTATCAAAAAGGTAAGGAACAATGTATACTTGACTCCTTGAGCAGGACCTACTCCCGCCTCATGTACACACACATCCAATACACTTAAGTCTACTGTTACAATTTCAGTGATTTTGATTTCCTTATACATTTTCAGAGACCTAGTATGTACTAACATAATGTCTAAAGGTTAAACTCTAAATCAATTATTATAGTGACTATGTCCAGCACAGATTCATGGAAGATTAAGAGATAGGAGGATCCTTAGAGTTCATTTAGTTCTGCAGATGAAATAACTGGAGGCCACAAAGATGATCTTACTTGCCTAACGCTCCACAGCTAAATTAATGGTGGCACTAGGACCAGAACCTGGGGTTTCTCTAATTCAGTATTCTATTAGTATTATTTTTGATGCCCTACCAATATGCTTACATTATCATTCTATCTGGTTCTTCAAAAATCACTGGAGGCATGATTTCTGATAGTCTTGGAAATCAGTGCCTCCAGGGTTGGGGCCTGTGAATGATTGTGATTCCTGCTCCACAAAATCAATACAGTATCAAGACTTGAATGCCAAATCAATATTGGCTGATTTTGCAAATATTTTAAATGGTTTTTGCATTTTATCTTCCAGATCTAAGGTTAAACATCACCTTTTCAGAGATGCCTTCTCTAGCAAGCTTATTTATTCTTGCCCTGTTCTTTGTACAAAATTTTAGCATATGTCCTATTTTAAAATAATATATTTTATTTACTTATTGTGTATAATTTCTAATAGACTGTAAATTCCACGAAAGGAGTCATTTCTGTTTTGTTCACTATTGTTCACTTAGCACCCAGCATAGTTCTTGGCACACAGAGTATGCTCAAATAATATTTGTTGAATAAACAAATGAATTTCTCTCTTAAACCCATGGTTGAGGTAAGCCTAATAGAAGCCCTAATTATCTCTTTTATTCTATCCTAAACTTGGCATCTAAGCTCAGGGGATTAAAGTTCTAGGGAAGTAGATTTTAGCTCAGCAGAAGCTACCAATTAGAGATATTCAGAAATGAAATGAGCTATTTTGTGGGATACTGAGCCTTTGCCAAGAAGAGGCTACCCAGGTATAAAGGACCTGTCTGCATCAGGCAGAAGTTTGACCTTGACAACCTCTCAGGACTTCCATGAGTTCCAACTCTAGGATTCTGTAGTTCTTTTCAGTTGTTTGATTTTGAGTTAGGTTAAAATAAAGCGCATATACAAACTCATTAGGAAATAGTCAAAGATAAATAATCTAATGAGACTTAGAAAGTTGATTATTCTGGCATACATACCTTTTAACAATTATTTGATAAGACAGATTCTACTGAATATACAATTTGCTGTAAGTCCATATATATGTAACTCAATGAAGACTAAGAGTTAAAAAAATTCGTGTGGCATTTCAGTTTTAAACACACACACACACACACACACCCCTTTCATGTAATTATTATATCATCTCTGAGAAAAATGATGTACAAGCTCATACAGAGTAACTGGCTTGTCCAGATTCATACATGCAAAATGGTAGAAATGTCAGGTCTCAAACTCCAAAATCAGTGATCTTCTCACTCCAATAGACATTACTTTCAACTCCAGAATTACCCATCCTTTTGGTTTAACTATATCTGCATCCTCATATAGGACTAAAAATACTTTTCTTCCAAATTTCCCTGGTAAAAGGCCAAATGGAATTATAAAATATAACTTTTTTTCCCATAGGTATAAAAAATGTTTTTGATTATTAGAAAAGCTATAAACATCTAATATAAACTAATCATAACACAAGTGATTAGTTTAATTAACATAGCTCATTAACTTTTATAATTAAAGATCAGTTATTTTTTTTTTTTCAGATTTAAAAAAGTTTTAAAGATCAGTTTTTTAAAATTAAGTTTATTGGGACAACATTGGCTAATAACATTATGTAAGTTTCAGGTACAATTCTGTAACATATTATCTATATATTGCATTGTGTGCTCAACACCCAAAGTCTAGTCTCCTTCTTTCACCATATATTTGACCCCCTTTACCCTCTTCGTTCTTCCCCTAACCCCCTTCCTCTCTGATAACCACTGTTGTTTGTGTCTTTGAGTTTGTTTGTTGCTTTGTTTTATACCCCACATATGAGTGAAATCATATAGTTCTTGTCCTTTTCTATCTGATTTATTTCACTTAGCATGATATGCACAAGATCCATCCATGTCGTCGCAAATGGCAGTATCTCATCATTTTTTATGGCTGAGTAATATTCCATTGTATATATGTATCACTTTTTCTTTATCCAATTATCAGCTGAAGGACACTTAGGTTGCTTCCATGTCTTGGCTACTGTGAATAATGTTGCAACGAACATAGGGGTACATATATCTTTACAAATAAGTGTATTCAAATTTTTTGGGTAGCTACCCAGAAGGATTGTTGGGTCATACGGTAGCTCTATTTTTAATTCTTTGAGGAAACACCATACTGTTTTCCATAGAGGCTGTACCAATTTACATTTTCACTAGCAGTGTATGAGGGTTCCCTTTTTCTCTACATCCTCTCCCACATTTGTTATTTCTTGTCTTATTGATAATAGCCATTCTAACAGGCATGAGGTAGTATCTCATTGTGGTTTTGATTTGCATTTCCCTTATAGCTACTGAAAGTTGAGCATCTTTTCATGTATTTATTGGCCATCTGTATGTCTTCTTGGAAAAAGTGTCTGCTCAGGTCCTTTGCCCATTTTTTAATTGTATTTTTTTAATGAGTTCTTTATATATATTGTGTATCAGCCCCTTATCAGAGATATCACTTGCAAATATCTTCTCCTGTTCGGTTGGTTGCCTTTTTGTTTTGTTGATTTTTTGCTGTGTAGAAGCTTTTTAATTTGATAGTCCCATTTATTTATTTTTGCTTTTACTTCCCTTGCCTTTGGGGTCAAGTTCACAAAAATCCCTCTGAGACTGAGGTCCTTAAGTTTAGTACTTATGTTTTCTTCTATGTATTTATTGTTTTAGGTCTTATATTCAAGTCTTTAATCCATTTTGAGTTAATTTTTGTGTATGGTGTCAGATAGCAGTCTAGTTTCATTCTTTTGCATGTGGCTTTCCAATTTTCCCAACATCATTTATTGAAGAGGCTTTTTTTACTCTACTGTATGTTTTGGCTCCTTTGTTGAAAATATTTGCCCATATATATGTGTGTTTATTTCTGGGCTAATTCTGTTCCACTGATCTCTGTATCTGTTTTTCTGCTAATACCATATTGTTTTGATTATTGTAGCTTTGTAGTATAATTTGAAATCAGGGAATATACCACTGGCTTTGTTCTTTTATCTCAGGATTGCTTTGGCTATTTGGGGTATTCTGTGGTTCCATAAAATTTGAGAATTTTTTGTCCTATTTCTTTGAAAAATGCCTTTAGGATTTTGATGGGGATTGCATCAAATCTGTATATTGCTTTAGGTAATATGGTTATTTTATCTATGTTAATTCTTCCAGTCCATGAACATCAAATATGTTTCCATTTCTTTGAATCTTCTTCAATTTCTTTTAATCATGTCTTATAGTTTTCAGGTATAGGTCCTTCACTTACTTTGTTAAGTTTATTCCTAGGTATTTTATCCTTTTTGTTGCAATTGTAAATGGGATTAATTAATTTCTTCTTCTGATACTTCACTGTTAGTATATAGGAATACAATGGATTTTTGCACATTGATTTTGTATCCTGCAACTTCACTCTATTTGTTTATTGTTTCTAATAGTCTCTTGGTGGAGTCTTAGGGTTTTCTAAATATACAATCATGTCATCTGCAAATAGTGACAGTTTTACTTTTTCATTCCCAGTTTGGATGCCTTTTATTTCTTTCTCTTGCCTGGCTGCTCTAGCTATGACTTCCAATATTATGTTGAATAACAGTGGTGAGAGCGGGCATCCTTGTCTTGTTCCTGATCCTAGAGGAAAGGCTTTCAGTTTTTCACCATTGAGTATGATATTAGCTGAGGATTTGTCATAGACAGCCTTTTTTTATGTTGAAATACTTTCATTCTATACCCATTTTATTGAGGGTTAATAGTTATTAAATGTGATTTTTTTTACCCAGTCTGATGAAAAAAGATTTCAATTCAGAATAGCAATTTTATCAACTCAAGATCCAAAAAAGGAATATTTTCTTATGTAAAGTTTATTAAAGCACCAAGAATAAGCTGGGCATTTATCACAGGTTCAATGGCAAGGGAGAAAAGATCCAACAACATTTTATTTTTAGCTACTAGTTGTTTCTCAGAGGTCACACAATGTAGTGATCTAATCATTTGTCTTTGAGCTAAAGATAAAGTAAAACATATATCTCATTCTGTTTTAGAGTTTTAAAGGACCTTTGAGACCATATAGTTAAATTTCTTTATTTCTTCTTAATTAATACAATAGATTTGAGATTCTACCTGCTATAAGTACCTCTTTTTGAGAGAGTTCATCTTTCCATGAAATGCCCTCAACTTTCTAAGAAAATCATGGTCATTTCTATTTTTCATATATTATATGTTATGGCATGGCAATTACATTTTAAAAACTGCATTTCTAAAATTCAAACATATATTCTCCTGTATGCACATTCATGTGCAGTATCTCTGTCTCAGGGTGATTCTCCTTAACCAGTCTTCCAGCTATAAAAGACAGGAATGAGTAAATCTTGGAAAAGGGATAACATCTTTGATATTGTCAATTCCCAAGATGCACTGCAGATAGCGTTCAAATCCCATCCCAAAACCTCCATGTGGCACAGATCCAAACTGACGAAGGTCCAGATACCTGATTTTAAAAAACAGAATCATCACCTATAAATGCTGTATGGGATCAGACGTTATAAAATAATTTTGTTTCAAAGTATTCTGTAATCATCTGTTATCATTCACATCATTGTGGCAGATCAGTCTTTTGCCTCCACAGATAGACAGATGAAGGACACAGAGAAGTTTAAGTAATCTGCCAAAGATTATCCAGACCAACAACAGCACACCCTTTCATTCATTCATGGACTTTGGTTACTTGATCCTTTCTAAATTATATACAGAAAACTTGCTTCATGAAGCTACAGAAAATTTTCTAATAACTTTACTAATTTTCTTCAAAATGTTACTTTTCTATTTCTTAGTACACTAATGATAATGATCTTTTTTAAAACCAAAATCATATTGTTCAAGACACAGAGGAGAGTGCAGGGTTTTGCCTGATATATTATAAAAAGATATGCTGTATTAGATTAGACCATAAACTAAGCAATCAAGGGCGGGAACTGAGTCTTATTCAACCTTTTATATCCGGTGTCTGCTTCAGAGTAGATGCTTACTATATGAAAATTAATTTGTTTGAAGGCACAAAAATATACTCTTGGGCACTGGAGTGAGGAGAAACTTCTGGTTTTCTGCTTTAAGCCTAGTGGAAGATGTTCAGAGTCATTTTTCTAGAATGTGAGACAGCCTCTGAAACCCATTCATACACATTTTATTCCAACTTAAGATGGCTAGAAATGGCTAGAAAATGGAACAGCCATGATTCAAACTCAGATTCCAATACATCAGCCTGGGAGAAAGTTATTTTAGGAAAGGAAGAGGAACAGGAAGATTCTGTAAATATTTTAATGTCATTTGGCGGGAGAATTCTTGAGTTACATAATATTAAAACAAGTTTATAGCTTCTTGAATGATTTGTAAAATCATTCCAGAATAAAACTTAAGTGCAATAGTTGGTAGTCATTTGGCTCCAAAGACGATGACCAATCTCCCCACTGTTAATAATAATGGCTCCATGTATTGGTATTTTAGGCAGTTAAGTTTAAGTACTTATCTTTCTAAAATAAAAGATTAATCGCAATTAGGTGAGTTAGAACCAAGGGAAGAGTATCTAGTATAAAACTTCAGATTAGTAAGAACTGCTAGGAATAATGGAAGGAACACATTCTTAAATAATTGAAATGTTTAATAGCCGAATTAACTTCAAGTTTACAAGGCATGGGGGAAGGATATACTTTGATTTAATGAGAAAATGAGATAAAAGGCATATCAAACCACCTGCCACAAACACCTGCAGGATCTGAGCTTGCTGCTCTTAAAAGTCTAGCAATAGTTTTAAGTGGTTCTAAATTTCTCATACATCGATATCAAAACACTGGCATAACGTCTGGAAACTGAATTCAGCAGAGAGATTTGGTCTGTAGAATTTTTCTTGTCTATTCTTTGATAGATGGAAAAATCCACTTCTAAGAAGCAAGTTTTCAAATGAATATGTATTTGATGGGTTGTTGTTAAATTGATTCTAGGGTAGCCAGATTATAGAAGAGAGGGTACAAAATTTGTGGAACTAGTTACAGGTTTTATTTGCATATGGCATGTAGAAATAGGAAGTGAGTAAATTCTTCGACACCTGGGATGGCCCCTCACAATGTGGTGGAACACTAGCAGAGATCACAGACTTAAGATTTTAAAAATTCCTTCTATCTTTAAAATATTTTGATAACCACTTACAAGAAAAATATTCAGATAATAAATATTTATATTTGGAAATCTTAACAGTTTGAAAACTTTAACTGGGAAAAGAATAGTACTGAAATGATTAATAAAGACCAGATAAGGCCTAAACTTATTTAACCAATAATTAAAATTTGAATATTATCTTGTAGACAGAAACTGAGGTAAAATGCATAAGTTTGCTCAATCAAGTTCATCTACCTAATAGCAAGACTCAGAACAGAAGAAGGAAAGGGGAGAAGAAATCAGCATTTACTGAGCTCCTTCCTACTCTAGGTAGATTCTTAATCTATATTATTTCATTTCATTCTCACAATAATCCTGTGAGATAGATATTATTATTCCATTTTATAGCCAAGAAAACCAAGACTCAGAGACATTAACTATGCCTAAGGTCATTACTGGTAAATAACAAAGGCATTCAAGGGCCATTACCAGAACCAAATTTTAAGCTTTTTGTATTTCTGAAATGTAACTCCTTCAACACCAAAAGGTGAGTGTGTAATTTGACCCTTCCTTCTTCTGAGGACAGGGAAAGAATTAATATTGTTGATGTTGTTATACCAAGATCCTGAAGGAGTGCTATTATAAAAACATAAATAAAAAATTTGGGGATGTCGAAAAAGTACTCCAAGAAAGGGTCTGCAGAAAGAAAACCAGAACAGCTTTGGAGAAGTAAATGTCCAAATGCAGGCAGGTGATCTCCTAAGCAGCTTCAGTTTCTACAGTGGGTGAAATTACTTAAGGATCACTTAGTTCAAGCCCCTGATTTCACACATAGAGAAACTGAAGCATAACAGTTAGGAACAAAATCCTAGCTCTATGTTTCTGTGTTAGTCAACATCTCTAGGCCTCAGGTCTGGAGAAGTAGTAAAAAGAAGAATAGTACCTAACTCACATGGTGTTATTGTGATTAAATGAGATAATATACATCAAAATTTTAACACAGTTATCTGGCACACAATAAATAATAAATGCATGGCAGCTATTATTACTAGTTTTCGAGGACTCAAAAGGAGTAAGTAATCTTCTGAGAACCTGTTCATTGTTCTTAGCACTCTTCCACAGTGCCTTGGGAATATAAGTAAAAAGTGTAATGCTCAGAACAATGGCTAGAATAAGAATCATTACAGGCCACATTCTTACCATTGGTAGGCTTCTATCAGTCCTAATCTGTAAAAGGAAAATAACGAAATTCTTTCAGAGAATGACAATAAGATAAATATACTAACAACCAAACATTTTTTCTGGATCGTGTACTCTTTACAAAGAAGTACAAACCAAAACTTGTGCTCTCAAATAACATAAAATATAGTTGAGTAGTTGAAACTTTGTTATATGGTGAGAAAGGTGAGTTAAACAATAGTTCCAGGTATTATCAAATATAGACAATCAATACTATAGAAAGAAAGCATGGTTTAGAGCTCAAAAGAGGGGGTTCATTTGAAATAAGCTAATTGTCCTGTGACATAAGAAAAGCACTATTACAACTACTTAAAGTTGCTGAAAGGCACACATAAACAAGGGACACACAAACACACCTTTCATTCTATAACATTAAAACAGTGCAGATTCTCAGGCTGCCTTCAAAATATGGTTGCTAATTGGTTTTTGCCAATTCAAGAAATGTTAATAAAGTTTTAAACTCTTTGTACTCATTGAAATTAACTTTAGCCTTTTAAAAAAAGTGTTTGGGACCACAGTGTATCTGAAGTGATCAGGAGAATGAAAAATTCAAATATACAAAATTACTGAACACATAATCAGAAGTCACGATACATAAAGAGGGAAACACATATATGCATTTCATTAGGAAAGATAAATTTAGATATTATCAGATATTAGGTAAACATTTACTGTTATGAGGAAAGGTTTCCTGAAGGAAGGAAGCAGTAGAGAAAACAGACCAATTAATCTTTCAACAGATGAGGTTTTTGCCATGTGTCATTTTTATTGTGCTTAAAAAAACCCCAGAGAATCTTTAAATTCTTTCCATCTAAAGAGTTTGACCTTAACTTCAATTTCATGATTTTCTTAGGAGTTAGTACTCCCACTGATAAAAGAGTTCTCCCAGAACACATTCGTCCCCTTTCTTCTGGACCCGAACCATATAGAGCAGAGTTCAAATAATTAGGATTACAAAACCAAGTTACCCAACAGATTTATAGATGGGGACCTTGGAAAAGACTCAACTTTTAAAGCATTTTTCCATTAGGGACAGAAGGCCTTACAAATGGCTAATAGGATATTTTCAAACAATCATGGCTTTTCCAGGTTACTATGAAACCCAGTATTATCTGGAGAGAGGGATTATGTCTCCAACATGGGAAAGCCTTTTTTTTTTTTCCTGAAGTTTGAAATCTGGCACAGCAAAAGTGGAAACCATGGAAAATAGAGATTTATAATCTTGGTTAGTTTAGAAAGTCATTGTGGTTTGTTGGCAGACCATGAATATATATGAGTGGTAGTTCAATTAGAAACATGATTCCCTACTTTTTTTCTCCAAAATATTTTCTGTGTGTTTACAGATTCATTTCCCAGGTCTCAAACAGCAAGTTAAAATAAGTTATTCAAATAGCTAAATCAAGACCCTTACGCAATGTAGAAAACCTGAGAAAGGGAAAACTGCTTATTCTGAATGCTAGCTTAGCAGACAGTATCTTTATTTCTCTCTGGTTCAGAGTCTGTCTCTCTTTATGTCCCTATAGGAGACTGCCAATCATAATTTAGAGTAAATAAAAAAGAATACAGAGAAGAGAAAAATCAAAATGAAGGACAAGCTTTAAGGGGGAAATCTTCCTGCCCCTCTATCATTAACTTTTTAAAAAGCCATTTCCATAGGAAGAGATACATATATATAGTGGGCAAATTTTATTGTGGCCTTGTTTCACATAACAGTTCTAGTCTTTAAGAAAGGAGAGCTCAGAAGGGTCAAGTAACAACTTGTTCAAGGTTACTTAGAATCTGAGGTTCAGGGCTGTCAGGTGCTAAGGTCCATGACTGTCTCTGAGTGTCCCATCCCTGCTCTCTGAATGTTGTTTCTTTTAGGTTTGACCAATACCTGGCCAGTCGCTGCTCTAAGAAACGGTACCGTTCCTCCCTGAGGCTTCCTCCAAAGAGCTCTCCAACTCCAGGAACCAGAAGATCAACAGCAGCAACCTAAAAAAGGGGGAAAAAACCCCACATAAACATTATATTTTCAGGGGACTCCAACAATTGTCAGCTTCTCAAGCAAGTGAACTTTTAACATTTTCACAACTGGCTGATTAACTGCTTATCCAAATCTTATTTGTTATCTGTTCATGTTCCCTGTTTCAGCAACAAATGGTTAAGATTTCCGTTAGAATACATGCCATGCAAATCGCAGGTGGACGGTTTCATCTCCCATCTTGCACCATTTATGCTGTGTACTTAAGAAAAATATGTTTTCACAAATGTAATATAAATATTAATTATAAAAATGTGGAAAATATTAAAAATTATAAAATATTAAAAATCACCTATCATCATGCAGTAGCAATTACATTTTGGCATATTTTCTTTCAGGTTATTTTTCTTATACATTTAAAGAGGAGAGGTCAAATTACATATAAAAACTTACCATTCTAATATCTTACTAATATTATACAATAAATATTTTTTCTATGTCAGTTAAAGTACTTTGCATACTTAATGTTTTAATAGCCACAGAGCTTACTGTTTAAGAGTATTATAGTTTTTACTTAACTGCTTTCCATTTGTTGAACATTTAGGGGGTACATGTGTGTTTGTTTCCTCTTATAAATCATGCGGCAATGGAGATTTTTCTTTAATTTGTAGTATTTTGTTAAGACTTGTAAAATATGTCCTAATTATTAATCAAAGAAGTACAAATTAAAACAATGAGATATCATTTTGGAGTTATCAAAATGGTGAAGGTAAGAAAGCAACATCAACAAATGGATTAGAGAATGCATAAACCAACACTCTTACAGATCTGATACAACATTTCTAGTCAAAAGATAATCAAAAGCCTTAACAATGCAACATGCTTTGACTCAGCAATAGCAGTTCTAGGAACTAGTCCTAACAAAACAATCAGAGACACAAAAATAAGATTAACGTACAGGATGTTTATTGTAGCATTACTTACAATGACAAGAAATTCAAGTGTCCATCAATAGGAGATTATTAAATTTTAGACATGAATAGAAAAAACACTGACATCTATATAATGAGATGTTAATTGTGCTGCCACTGTGACTTCTCTTATTTGTATTTTTGTATTTTCTATAATAATGGTGTTATACTTTTGTAGTAAGAAAACAACAAAAAACTTTTAATAGAGAAAATGGTAACTTGATATTTTAATTTGTATTTCTTCGATTACTAGTAATATTTCACTTTTGAGAATGTTTATTTGCTATCTGCATTATCTTGTGAATTGACAATTTTTTTTGGCAGGTGGCAGGTAGTTATTTTTAAGACCAAGAATATAAAGGCATAAAATTAAGAAAGATTTAATGCAACATATCAAGAATCAGGAATCCATAAAACACATTTTAATTTTTAAATGTCACATTACATTATAAGCCCTTTTCTTAAACTCTGCCTTACTTTACTATTAAGTTGTCCCCTTGTTTTAATTTCAGAACTTCTGACTGAGGTATACTTTATAAATAATTGAAATTAGTAAAGAATATGTCCCAAATGCTGCATACCTCATATTCATTATTATCATTAAAAGAGAAAAAGGCATGATTTTCATCATTCAGCTGAATTAGTGAGAGAAAACAGAAATTCACTAGTGGTTTCTACTTTTACTCCATCTCCTACCACTCAATAAACTGGTGAAGAGTGAGTGTACCAACAGGTCTTTGTCATGTGCTTGTTGACCGCATCTTAGTAATTCTTCTATGAACTTGAGGGATGAACAAGCAGGTATTTTAGAATGTGGATTTGATGATTCAGACGTGATAGTAGGTAATGAGGTAATGAAACAAACAGCTTTAGATAGGTGAACAAGAGAAGTTTACTAATGTGATGAAATTCTCATGGGCTACACGGTTAATAGAGTTGGACTCCAATCAATAACCTTCAGTTACCTTTTCTATTTTCAGAGAAAGGAGAAGAAGATTCAAGGAAGTTTTTACGGCTACGAAGGGCTGGCTTCTTTATTTCCTAGTATCTTGCTTCTAGACATGGCTAAAATATGCTAGGAGTTGAAATGCATGATGAAAAATATGTTCTTGATTTCAAGCCACAGTTTTTAGTTTAGAATTAGGGCTGGAATAAAATAGACAACAAAGTGGCCCTCTGGCCTTCACTTGAAAATATGTAAAGACTGGGAACCACTACGCCCAAAATACAGTATTCCATCCTTACGTGCTCTATTAAAAAGGGATAGGTATATCTAAAATCTATCATTTATTTCCAAGGTTTTGAAGTTGGGGCAATTCCAAGCTACAAAGGAGGGCAGTAATTGCTTCTGATATTGCAAAGCTTTAAGAGGCAGAGCTAAAAAGGCCCACTGCCTCAGAAAAAGATGGTGGAGAATCAGCTACCATAGAAGAATAGGAAGTAGGTAGTCCAACTGAGGCTGGTAGCTGGTGATGAAGGAATGAAGCCACTCTTGATGAGTTGTTCTGCTTTTTCTATTAGTCTATACGCATCAAACAAGAGATCCATTTCTTGCTTGATCTTGCTGCTAATACAACTAAAAGAAGCAAAACAAACAAAAAATAAAACAAGAAAAAATGCTTTGGGGAATCTTAGCACTTTTTGCAGATCTAAATCATGCCAATTTTGGACCTTAGTTTTTTTAATGCTATTTTTTAGAGTGTAAAAGACTCATATTTATCTTTGATTACAAACCTCCTTTAACATTTTGAGTTCACTGGAGAATTCAATATGCAACCATATTGGTTTTATACTTTTCTGTCTGGTTTTTATCTGGAATATTTGCAACTCACAGTAATAGTTGTGGAACTGGAAGCTTCTGAACTTTTTGAGTTACCTTCAAAATCTTATGCCATAGTATCATACCTACATTTTTTTTCCTGAATTTCTTTCCAATCTGTCTTCCTAATAATCAATGTCCCAGAACTGGTTAAGCCCAACCATTGGATGAGGTATACAGCCCACATTGGCTATTATGAAATTAGTGTGATAGTTGCTATATTAGTCAGGATAGTTTATTCTGTATTAATAAACAACCCCAGAAGCTTACAACAGGATCTCTCAATCTTAGCATTAGTGCCATTTTTTTTTTTGCCAGATAATTCTTTGTTGTGAGAGCCTATCCTGTGCATTGTGGCATATGTAGCAGCATACCTGGCCTTTACCTACAGATGCCAGTTGTACTCCCCTAGCTGTGACAACCAAAACTGTCTCCTGGGTGCGGGTAGGAGGGAAAAATAACTCCTGAATGAGAAACACTGTTTTACATCAATGAATTGGCTTTTAAAAATTTATGTTACATGTCCATCCTGGCTTGAAGCTGATAAAAAAACCTCTTTCTGAGGTACCGCTGACCTGTGACAGATGAGAAAAAAAGAGCATGGATGACTATGTACTAAAAGCATTTGTCCAAAAGTAAGATATGTAGGTCACGTTTGCTCACAATTCTTTGGCCAATGTAAGTCACATACAAGTTGCTAAGCTCTTGTCAATAGGGCAGGACAGTCTAAGTCCCTCCCACCTTCGAGGGAGGAGCTGCAACTGTTTATGTGTCATTAAACAGTTTACTATGTTACTTCCCCCCATCTACTTGGCCTCTTCTACTTCTACTCTCCCACCAATTCCTCATTGTTAATTAGAATTAAGGTTAGAACAGTAGTCCCCCTATTTTCTTCCTCTGTACTTTGGGAACTTAACAGTACAGAGGAACTTAAAAGAACTTACCAAAACAATCTATTTTAGTTGAGCAAAAAGTTTAGAAGACATCTGGGTAAATCCCATATCACTGCTAATTTTGTAATATGAAGAAATAACACGTACATCATCTATGTCCTTTCTTTGACCAAACAGTCTGAAAACTCACACTCTCAGGTGGGTGAATCTCCCGCACATTTTCTTGACGTACAGAGTAAATAAAGGTGCTTCCCCTCTTAAGAGATCTGTTTCTTTTGAGTAAGGTATTCCTTTACAATGCCTCATAAATGTTCCATGACCAAAGGGTACTATTTCTTTTTGATCAAGGAAAGACTTATCTCTTTGTGAAGAAAGGCCTACGAAGCCTCATTCTGTTCTCTTCCTCTACATAATCTTCTCTTTTACTTTAGGTTGTTTCCCTTCAACCATGTCAGATTCTTATACTTCTTGCTTTTCTTTTATAATGATACCCTCCAATCTACCTAGAGATTCTACATACTTTCTGAGAAGCTATAATAAAGTATCCCTCAAATTTAAATAAAGACATTTACATTTGGTATACACAGAGCTTTACTTTCTTCTGATATGATTTTAAAAACACTAAATTCTCTAACAATTACTAGAACAATCCCCTCAATTTCCAGTCTTTTTAGTTAAAGTAGAGATTCTAGGTAGGATTCACCTCTCTTGTGTCTCTCCCTGGTAGCTACTGGACTAATTACTAGAGAAACTATCTGATTCTCTAGGGCTCTAATGGAGGTAAAATGCACATCTAGATAATATAAACTATGACATAAGGGTACACAAACTGCAAAATGTGGAGGAAATCACACAACTTTCTTAAGTAATAAGAAAAACTTGGTTGAGTGTTTGCCAAGTGACGGATGGTGAGGGGATTAGAGTGCAAACAGGTTGGAAACAAGCAAGTTGCCTAGAACATTAGCTGGTGATTACAATTTGCCTTTAGGTGCTGGAAGGTCTGTGGTCTACGGGCCTCTGAGGCTGGCTTAAAGAGCCAGGGGCTGAGTAATCCTGTCCTTGATTAGGGAAAGTGAGAATTCACTGGTTGTACAGTGAAATGTCCTCTTAAAATTGACTCAATTTGAGTACTTCTGTAGCTAAAATCACCATTGTGTCCCTATGCAGCTTTGGGAGGCTTGAAATAAGAGGAAGGATTTTAGTTCTGCTGTTTGTTCACTCCCACACAGATAACAATGAAGGCTACAAATCATTTTACTGTACTCTTTACTGACTTCTCTAAGTCTTAAACAAAACTTACTCCACTTTGGGCACATCTTCTAGGCCAG